GACCAGCCTCTCTGGACACTTGATCAAATTTCATAGTGGAAATTTCTTTACAAAATGATTGTGTGGGTGGTCTTTACAGTAATTTGCACATCCTTACTGAGGCTGAGATTTATATAGCTGAGTGCCAGGCCTGACAGCAGTCAGAGAACAGATTGCTAGGCTTGGCAGCCGCTGGAGTAGGCTACTGGGCCAGGACAGGGAGAACAGGGCAGTTTCCCAAGAGCACCTGACGGCAGCCTTCACCCAAAATGTACCTACCTGTCCCTGGCTATGGAGGCTGCTGAGTGTGGCTGGGCCTGGCAGACTCCCAGACCTCCGTAAGCCCTGTGCATAGCGGCTGGAATTCATCCTCTTAGGCCCAGAGGGTAGGGGATTTGGGACTTTATTTAGTGCCATTTAGAAAAGATTACCCCCTAACTGCAGACTTGCCGTCCGGCAAAAGACTTTATGTGTAAAAAGGGCCGATCAGAATACCCCAAACAATGCAGAAAGGGTTAGCATAATGCTAAGTCACAGATAGAAAAAAAACACCAGAAAGGAAAGCACACGAAAGCTCGGTGAAATAAGACGACTGAGTATAGTGTCTTAAATGAGCTGTTAGGAAGGGTTGGGAGTTTGTGATAAGCTACAAGAATGGCTGACATGAGAAAAAAAGAAATGTATCGGAGTGAGGAATGAGCAGCTGTTGATGAAACATAGCTTGGTGTGGCAATCCGATAATATGAGACTGACTTTATTTATGCTTCTTCATATAAGGGACCAGATGTGTTTTGTGTCTTTCTCGTATTTTCTACTGATGTCCAATCAGCATCCAACCCATTTAACACCATAGAAAGAGCTTAGAGTCACACCAGATATCTTTGTTTAAGGACATTGGGATATATCCTTTAGTGATCTGCCATTTCAAAAGAGACAAAAGTGACCAATCCTTTCAAATGTAACCACAATGGGCCGCCTCTCTCAATCTGTCCTTTGTCATACACTGTTCTGCTGGCATTTAACCCTCTCTTCGTTTGTGACACCCAAGACCTGTTAACCCCAGTTTGCTCAAACACACAAAGGGCCAGCGAGCCGAGCACAGAGAACCCAGGTTTTACTGAGCTTAACAATATTTAGGGCTCTGATTGTCTGGGTGAATTCCACAACGCAGTACACAGCTGCCGCTACACCGATAGGAGAGTTGCAGGGGAGGAATACGGGCCGTGTGTGACTGAATGACTTCAGTGCGGTCTCTGACACTCGCCGCAGTGCAACAAGGACCCGAGGAGCTCTAGGCCTGTGTTAAAGTGCCATTGTCTGTAGTCTGAAAAAGAAAGAACCAGTATGAGAAAAAAAGTGAGGCCTGTGGGATGCTCTGTGGGTCTGTTGTCATAGAGGAGGAGGCTAACACCATCCCACCACATATACCAAAGCCTCTCCAGTTAGTTACAGGCATAGACTATAAGCAGGATTCGGCACGTCCGTCAGAACTGCATTAACGGTTAGAGGTGTGGCACCTGATGTCATCTGTGAGTGGCTTACCTTAAGAATACCAACAGCAGCTGAGGGAACAGCACCTCACGCTTTTACACTGCTGTGTAGAGTGTAGTATAATGTCTTTATCTACTTTATCTTGTGACTGTGACTGTACTCTGCAATCTGCATGATAACTGGGTAAAAGTCCACACAGCTTTATCATATTTTCACTAGCAGCCTAGCATGCAAGGGTGCCTTTATAAGAGCAGGGTTTGAGGAGTGAGAAGCCTATTGTGTAGAAATCAGCTGTTGACTTAAGATATTATGCACTTCTCCTTGAGAAAACGTTGCATACTCACAAAGCAATGCATGTTGCAGGTCTCCTGAGGTAGCACGGGGACAGTGGGCCAGGTGACTCACATTCACTAAAGCATACGACCAGATGGATCGCTATGTCACACACTAACTCTGCCAGTAGGCTACAGGGCAATGGTGACTATCGCTGAATACAGTCAACTTCGTGCTTAACCTCAGTGGAGTGAAAGAGGGAGCTTGAGGGGACGTCACCATATACAAAACAGTCAATACCTGGTGGCAAAAGCCAGCGCGCAAGCAAATAATAGGTGGAGAATAATTTTGTGGCTGGAGGACGGATGCTTCCCCAGCTACAGGGGTATCCCAATGTTAGACCATGAGACATGTTAGCCTATACATGCATGATAGCTATATCAGAGAACAGAGAGGAACATCATATGAATATAATTAACCAATGCATGGTACTTCTAGCCAATCACCATGTGTATAATGTACTATTATAGCTAGCTGTGAGATGATCCCTCAGCAGTCACCCACAAACGTGCTCAGAAAGTAGCACCTGCTGAGGAAGCAGCACGGCTGCTCAAATTAAGGCACAGAGCTGTGTCGTTACTAAGCAACAGTGGCGCACAGGATTCCTCCATCTTCCTGCCTAAATAGTGGCATGTATGTGGGGGTGTGTTTGAGTGTGAATATTAGTACGCTGTCAGATCAGCTAAATGGCAGGCAAAGTTTGCCTGCTGTCACAATGATTTCTGACTGGCTGTTTACGTCCAGCATGAGACAAACAAGTGGTATCTGGGCATTTAAATCACTATGAATACACATAAATCTGAGCTGTTTTCTTTTGTGTTGTGTTTGTGCATTCCAGAAAGTTTAAAGGGGCTAGGTTTAGGTTCAGTGGAGAGGATCCAGTGTTCAGATACTCTGCAAATATCCCAGACAGTCTGTTCAAGTCTCTCTACATCCTCAAAAAGAGAAAGGCCGTCCAAACACTACCGCCAGTGTAAATAATAGTCGAGTCCCAAAGAAATCATGGCATTTCTACCTATTTTATGGGCTTTTGCAACCTCTGCAGACAAAGCCACACTGGTCAGTTTGACCAACCTACTTCAGACTGTTCCACAAATCAGAGCAACAAAGGACTGTGAGGTTGATTAATTTGACATTTGTCTTTTCACAATATCTTAAATTATAAGTTTGAATTTTGAGTAAGAAAACAGCCACTGAGATAAGCTATTTTAGCCCCCTGTTGTGACAGTAGCTTATCTTGTATTTGCTCTCCGCTATCTACTTTTTTTCTACAGACAATAAAGAGGAAGTGGAGAGGGATGTGAGAAGAATGTGTTTGTATTTCTCTTGTGATAGCATCATTTCTGCCCTTCATGCGGCGGCTGGGGGGGTTGGGTAGAGGGATAAAGGAACATAGCTATGGTCTTTATGGTCATCTGACCAGTGATCTACAATCACTATAACCCAGCCCTGAGGCAAAAGAAAGAAACTCTGTCGCAGCTTTGAGCAAACAATTGAGTTTATTACCCACACAGATGGATGTTTGTGTTCCATTATGAGACAGAAAGAAAGATCAGACACAGGAGTTCAACCAGACTCACAATGAACGTCGCTTTTTAAAATTAGACTTCACCCCGCATATTTTGAAAAAACACAAAAAATGTCCCACAAATGTCCCCACTTGCTTTAGTTTGCTGCCATAGTTACTCTTTAAGAACGTTTTCAGGCTGTCTATTCTATTCAGAGCTTTTTGCTTTCATTCCTATGTGGCAGAACTAGGCCTTCTTGCCAAAGACATGCATGGGAAACTGAGCAGGAGTTCCTGAGACCTCCTCCTTTGAGCAACAACAACGACAAGAGAGAGAGCCACTGGAAGACGGACAGAAAAGAGGGAGAAGCAGAAAGCTGAAAACCTCTCCGTATGTGGTGTCTTCTCTACTGAAACGCACAAAAACCCCAAGGGAGAAATGAGCAGGTTTCTGGCAGACAGTAAGGGGTTTACCATGAAGCCAGATTTGTCTATTGGTTGTCTGGCCTAGTGGGAGGACACAGGAAAAACCCATATTCTCAAAGGAGGATGTGAGCAACCGTGAACAAGCCTGTGTCAAAGCGGGAATCTGTTTTTTTTTTCTAGATGCTGCAGCCGTTAGCAACACTGTCTGCCTCATGTCACTCTAAGCCCACATTTCTCTCCTCTTAAATCACAAGACAGCTCTGGTGAAGAAAAGTGAGCTCAATGTGATAACAGTAGGGAATAAGTCCGGCCACTGTTCAGAAAAACAGACACATCCTTTATCTGACTCTCTGGCGCAGCTTGACCCGTCACTCTCAACATTCTTTCCATTCCCAAAAGGTCGTAACTGGTTTGGTTTCCTCTGCAAGTTGTTCATCCCTCTCTCTCTCTCTCTCTCTTCTGAGCGGGAACGTTCAAAATTCAAACCTACTCCCGCCCCTTTCCAACTAAACTAGTAATTCTTGTTCACAGTGGAGGGACTGAGCAAAGAAAAAGACACTTTGACAAGAGATCTAATGCCCATCAAACATGTGAAAAGGTGTTGGTTTTGAATGTCATCTCAACATGTAAATGTAATTTAAAATGAAGCTAAAACATCCCTGAAGATCAGAATCAAAACCAACACAATCACAGAAGGTTACAATTGAATGAAGATCGCTTTGTATGTCCCATATCAAAGATGTGTGGGTGAGGTAATGCAGATTACAACCTGTAATAGGGGTCATATCTTTACAGTTTGGCAGATCTACTCAAGATTAAGACATTACAGAAGTGGGGGGTGGAAACACGAGGCCATGAGTCAGACAGGAATGTCTTGAAGAAGGGGCCATAAGAGTTGCATAAATAAATAAAAAGGTGGCAGTGCAATGGGGGACACCCTGAGTGAAGAGGGGGTGGGGGGTGGAGCAGCCTACAGAGGAAGCATCCCCTCCCCATCTTGCAGTTTTGACCTTGTAGGATGAAAAGCAGCTATATGACTTATACCTGCCCAAGTGTCCCAGCAAACCAAGTCCCTATATAGAATATTGTAGTGAGGAGATCATGCACATACCATACAAATTATAAAATCAATGAGGGCTTATATTTTACAATAACAAATGAGCATACGCCCTAAAATAAGCACGGTGGCCTGTGAATACTAGTTAGATGATACTGTTATTACTCTATTTCAGACATATTCTGCGATTTTAGAAACACAGCCTACCTCTTTCAGCTGGTCGAGCTCCTGCCTGACGGCCTCGTACTCGATCTCCAGGTCGTCGTACTGCTGTTTGAGCTGCTGCTTCTCCTCCAGTACCACCAGCCCATACTCCGCCGCCTGGATCTTCTCGTTCGTGGTCTCACTCAGCTCCCGGGAGAGACGCTCGATCTCGGCCCGCATCCACTCCGGCCCGGCCTCCAGCAGCAGCATCCCGTCGGGGTATCCCTGCTCCTCCACGGACATGGTCGGCACCGGTGAGGTATCAACCAACGCACGCCAGCTGATCTGCGACAAGGGGTGGGGTGGGGTGGGG